CTCCCTGCCGCTAGACCACGACGACGCAGAGGCGAGTTCGGAGTGTTCAGAGCTTTGCTCTTCGCCCCGGTTCTCCTTCCTTGGGGCCCTGCCCGTTTTCTCTGCTGACTCTCGGTGTGCCGGGGCGGTTTGGTTGCGTTCCTTAGGTCTGTGATTAGAGCAGGCGCCTGGAAGGCAAAGCTCAGAGCAGCCCCCTTAACCCCGTGGTCTCAGCAAAAGGGATAGCGTTTCCTTCCTTCCTTCCCAGGGGAGCCGCTGGGAACTCGGCTTTGTAAAGCAGTCTGCGGTTCTTTAATCTGAAGAACGGAGGGTCGTTTAAAAAAAGACCTGTGAAATCATTAACAAACTGCTTCTTGCTGCTCTGTGTTCCCAGCTGCTCTCGGCAATGTCAGTCTCCCCGATCACCCCGCTCCTCTCTGCAGCCGGAGCTGGGTCCCCGTGAGCGCTGCTCGGGCTCTCTCCCCGTTTCGGCAGCAATGGGGTGTCCCACTGCAGCAGGAGAGGTGGGTGCTCTCTTTTCCCCTGTGGAAGCTGCGACTTTCTCGACGTGGCTGAAGTGCTGATGGAAGCTGCGGCTTTCTCGACGTGGCTGAGGTGCTGCACCTGATTTCCCTGGAGCTCCTGTACGGTTTGGGTACAGGGTTTGTCCCCAGGGTTTGCCCCCTGGGAGCGGCGATACGCCCGTGGCCCACGCCGGGTACAGGCTGAACGGTGGCACGATGCTTCGAGGCCTTTGCCTAAGCTTCTCCCTTTGATTTTTACCGAGCTGCTGACGGCTGTAGGCACGGTCCCGTTACAAGGAGCATTTCTCTAGCAGCTCTTTCCCCACTGGCTGTAAAGCCGGAGTATTCCCAGGAGGAGCTGGGGGAAGGGCAAGGATGGAGATCAGTTGGAGAAGTGTTGCAGACGAGAGGCGAGGGATTAATGGTGGCTTCAGCCGTGGGAGCAGAAAGGGGCTGGGGGCGGCTGCTCTCTCCCCTCTGGTGACCCCGGTGGCCGTGGGGATGTTGACCTACCTGGGGGCTGATTCAGGGCGCAGGCACGCTCTGCGGGGTGGCTCTGCCTGTGCGTGGCAGGAAAGGAGGCGACTCTCTCCTCCTCCACCCTCCCGAGAGGGATGTTACCTTTAAACGCCATTGTTCTGAGTAACTACAGATTAACGCAGCTAATGGAGGCATGAAAGGGAAGCGGCGTCCCTCGGTGCCAGGGCACTCCTTAGTTTGCTGCCCTGGCCTTGGACGGGGAAACCGTTCCTCCTCCCTGCTCTGCACCTGCAAGGATGTGCAGGGGGGTGTCTGGTGCGAGAGCTCTCTGAAGTCCCGCTCCCCATCGTCCTTGGGATGCCAAGGGCTGAAGTTGGGGGACGTGCTTTCTCGAGGGGGACGCGGGGGCTTTGCTGGCTGCGCCGGGGCAGCTTCGGGCTGCGGGCCGGGGGGGAGAGGGGGTTACTCTTTGCCACAGAAGTAGAAGGGCCCGGTGGAGCCAGGGGGCAGAGGGCTGCCGGGAGGCAGAGCCGTTAGCAGATGGCTCCAGCTGGGCTTACCGGGGAGCAGGTGTGGGTTTCGGGAGGCAGCCTTTTAAGAGAGATGTCAGTTTTGAACCCGGGAGGCTCGAGGGGCTGAGCCACGGCTGCCACGACTCGCATGCTGGGGAGCCGTGACCTAGTTGTGCTGTAGAAATGCTCGGTTTATTTTTTATTTTTAGGTATTTTGCTTATTTTATCCTCATGTTTAATTTAGTTAGCAAAAAAAAAAAAGGAATCGGAGGGCTGAGCAGTGCTGAGAAGGACTGCCTGCAGGCGGGAACGCCCGCTCCAGCTCCTCGGTGCAGCCAGCATCTCTCCAGCCGCCCGTGTCTTCTCTCGGACACGTGCTCACGTGTACCAGCCCAGTGCTGTCTCTCAGGATCTCTTTAATGGGAAACCCAGTGCACTCAACGCTGCTGCCTGCCTCCGGGGTAGCGAGGGAGGGAGGAGCGGGATTCGGAGCACGGACCAGAGAGGCTCCCGTGGCCATGGGGACCATTCGAACGTTGTGCTGTAACTGGTCTGCCTTCCCTCTGCTACTGGGAGCAGGGAGCTGGGAGAGCACGGCGCCTCAGGAGGCTTTGGGCTGGTTATTCTCTCGACCACCGCTTGCCCCTGCCTTTACGCAGCGTGCCCAAGGCGGGGTAATAGGCTGTATCTGCGAGGAGGGGAGTTTCAGGGGTCTGTGCGATTCCCTCGGGGAGAGCTGCTTGAATTTATTGCATTATCCTCCTTCCTGCTCCAGCTTGTGTTTCAGCTGCGTCTGCAGGCGTAGCTTCTGATTTAAGTAGATCCAATTAGTAGCTAGCTTCTGGCATCAGTATCCTGCTCGGGGAGATGAGCCCCGGAGGTGAGGAGCCTCCAGTGGGAGCAGGGCCGGGCTCAGCCTTTCTGCTCCCGCTCCTGATCTCGGATGGACGCGGAGCTCCCCAGCTCACAGCCCTGGTCCTGAGCTCAGGGGGAAACCGAGGCAGGTGTCCTCTGCTCCGTGTCCCGCCACGAACAAAGAGCAGGCGGGGTCTCCCCGCCTGTGCTGCTGCCAGCCGGGTGCTCGTACGACTGACATCAAACACCCCAAAACGCGCCAACTGGGCAGCAGGCAGGGCTTGGAGCTGCTCGTGCCGGCAGGGTGCGAGGGGCCGACGGGCAGAGCCGTGCAGGGACCTGTCTGTTGGGGGTAGGACTTGTGGCCCCCCCCGACAGACAGGAGGGAGCTGCTGGAGCTGGCTGCTTCCCGAAGGAGCACGGAGGGCTTTTCCCCTCTGCTGGAGGGTGAGGGGCTCCGTGGGAAGCTCAGAGGAGAGGCCTGGGCTGGCACGGAGCTGGTTTAGTTTGAGTGCTACGCTCAGGGGGAGCGGGACAACTGTCTGCACCACTCGGTTAGTTCTCCAAACGATACTGGTCCCATTTGCACATCTCTCTCTGGCGTTTGCCATCGTGGAGGCTGAGGAAGGCAGGGAGCACGGCTGGCGGCCCTACCTGCCCTGTGTGTAACTCGTGGCGAGCTGGCTTGGGGTTTGGGCTGGGCTGTGGGAGCTGGCGGGGTGGTGTGTGGCCCTGGGTGGTGTCTGGGTGACCTATGACTTACGTGTGGAGAAAATGACGTGTTGCTACCTGTAAGTCGGCCATCACAGCCGTGTTGCAAGTGCTTCCATCCTGTAATGGTGTTGCTCACCAGCGTATTAAACTTGCCAGAGAGCTAATATCTTTTATTAGAGCGACTGACCTCATTTAGAAGCTTCCAGTGCACCAGCCAGTGATTATTTCATGCAACAACACGTATGGAGGAGCCCAGGGCAGAGCACCAAGTCTCCTTCTCGTGCTGCACCGCTGTCTCCCGCGTTTGCTGCCTCAGCTGCCTCCTCTGCTTCCTGCCCTCCAGTCAGCAAGGATTTTGCTAAAAGGGACTTTGTGGCCTGAATCATTTGAGATTTCATGTGGACTAACAGGAAGTGAAAACAGAATGAGCACATCTTCCTCCTCTTCCTG